CCCCAAAACCCCAAAACCCCAAAACCCCAAAACCCCAATAAGAAAGTATAGGATGGAAATTCTATAATATGAAGATGGCAGAAAAAGAAGAATACACCTGGTTCTTATGATTCAAAAGAAAGAAGAATACGAGTGATAAAGTAAAGAAAGTCAAACCCAAATTAGCTCAAATTGTTGATGAAAGCAGCCAATCGAGCCAAGAAGAGTTCAGTGGTGAAGGTAAGCTCTTATGATATGTCTGTGGTTGGGCAGATTGAACAACAACACTAGATACCTTACAGAAATTTTTCTAATTTGAGTTCTTTACTTTGAGTAGATAGTTGAAAAATTCATATTCAAAAGCCATGACCATCGAAATCAAAGGAGAGCTCAGAAGAACTTCCACAAAGAAATCGTAATAGGAAATAAGCGGAAGAGTTCAATAATGCCGAACGATCGGAGCTTGTAAGTCTTGAGAGCCAATCTAGTCCATAACCATCTTCTTTAGCCTCGGAGAGCTAATCAAAAGTCCTAATAGTAAGCCACAATTTGCTTAATTAAGTTACGAGAACTATTTATTCATAACTTTTATAAGACATTATTGCTTCTTGGAGGTATTCATAATCATTGTAGGTCCAGTAGCAAACCTTAAAGTTTTCAGAGAGAAAGAGGTTGATAATAGTGCACAAGTTATGTTGTAAGTTCTATTGGAAAGAGGAATACAAACCTGCTGATTAATTGTTCAGCTATTTTATCATTTATGCATAAAATTTTGCTGTTCTCCAAAATATGATCCGTTTCAATTCGAATATAAAAGAACTTCCAAACAGGTATTCAGATTTTCAAAGACAGCTATTCCTCAGCTAAGAGTTTGTTGTTTAGATTATTCTAAAAGAGCTCAGTTTCCTTACTTTCGAATAATTTCATTTCTAGTTACGGTAAATAATTTTATGAAGAATTTCACTATAATTTAATAACCTATATCCCAATTTATTAAGAAATTATTGATAAAATTGGGAAATTTCAGTAAACTTATCCTGCTTAGGAGGAACTTTCTTAATGACGAAAATCTCACATTTGATAACCCAGTCAGAAAGCGGAAAAAGAAGAGAAGGTTCCTGACAAAAGCTGTTAATAATACAAAGGATGAGGACTCGAATGAATTCTTTCCGAACGATTATGAGCTAAACCACACTGCTATAAGCCCAAATGATACTATAAATATTCATCCTTCTAGTACCTCAATTATGCATCCACAGGGAACTCCTGAAGAGTCTCAGATTCAGTGAAAGTCTTCAAACCTCATGATTGAAGAAGAGTTTATCAGGGACCGGACGAAGAAGGAGAACAGGAAGTATCGTAAGAAAAACCTAAAGACTCATATCATGACTGAAGTTAAATATGCTGAGAGCAAGGATAAATTACTTTAAGCAGAGAATCGATGAAATTAAGTATTTATTTGTTATGCCTAAACTTGAGTTTAGAGGTATTTGAGAGGCTTTTAGAGGTGTTTTAAGCGGTTTTAATTTGATTTTAGTATATAGGCGATGCTTTAGGGTTTAGTTTTAGGTATGAGAATTTTGGGAGCTGAGTACTGGAATAAAGCAGATTCAATTATTCTTTTATTAAAAGGGGTTTTGGGGTTTTGGGGTTTTGGGGTTTTGGGGTTTTGGGGTTTTGGGG